GAGTGTATGGCTTGCTGTAGTGACTTATCTCACTTGTCTGACAGTAATACCAGAACAAACCTACTGAATTCGTTGTGGCAAGGAATGAAAGATTGCGCCTGTCGTTAGCAAGAGCTTTAAGTACCATACAATGTCGATATTTCAGCAATATTTCGTGATTCTAAAGAAAGCTGATATATCCTGTTTCATCATGTGGTAAATCTCAGAAGCCCACGAGGAAAAAAACAAATTAAAAAATACATCGACGTATCCAGACATATCCTAACAGAACATACAGTTCGATGCGTTCTTAAATGGATAGTTCCTTAAGTTAAGGATACTGTTGGAGTAGGGAGGTAGACATATGTTGGTAACTTAATAGCCATATTTTAGAACCAACCAAAATTCCCAGTAGCGAATAACACACGAGCACTAGTCTTATTTCAGAAACTGACCGGAATAGTTAACATTTTTTAAAGTTATAATTACAGTTTGAAGGTAAAGTGTTACCTCATGCAAAGATGTATTTTTAACCTATTTAAAAAAATAATTGAATCTCCAAATAAAAAAATAAATAATCTAATATATAAAAGATAGCTTCGCAAGCTATCAGAATATTTTAAAAGTTAGACAAAAAAGAATGCATCTTGAGAAACGCAGTTGGCACAAGTGCTGCAGGATGTTTGTACCCAGACATTACTAGAATTGACAGTGCCTCAGAACGTGCTTCAGCTTTTTTCAAATAGGGTGGTAAATAAGATAACGAGAAAAGTCTTACTGAAGTAACTGCCAATCAAAACCCGTTTCCTTATCTCATTTTAGTTTTTCGAGGATTACATCCGAAGCGAAGATTTACTTCTTCTTCTTCCTCATTTTTTTTTATTGTCAGTGATAATAGCTGGGGACTTCAATCAGCAAATGAGATAACTTTACAGCTGCATTTGCTTATATTCTTGAGATTTCGGTCATGGTTTGTGAGTTTTCTCACAGAAGGCGATGTTCAATTAGTACCCACATCATAAACTGTGATTTCAGATCTTGCATACTTCCCAGGAAATGCGGATGGCCACTTTAAATTGTAAAATGCATAATTCTGTTTATTTTAAACGACTAACAGTGTTTGAAGACATCTTTCATAGACTTCTTTCATTTCATGCATCGTCTTCAAAGGGACTACTACGGTAGGAAAAAAAGACGAAATCTGCAGCGATATTTGCTTACGTTAGCATATCAGATGAGGGATAAAATAATTGTAACCTTTTTCAAAATCCATAAGCTTTCACTACTTTTTTGTACATAACAGAAGTAAAATGAACAATATGGCATTTTATAGAATATTAAGCATCATACTAGGCCAGTATTTCTGAGGCAAAGCAGCTAGTATTTCTGAGAACGTACGCAAACATCGCTAATGTGAATTGCACTGTTTTTGCCTAAGACCTCAATTTCTTAATTGGAATAGCGCCATAAAATAGGTAGTAACGCAATTAGCAAACTATCTGATTTTGCTACCTAAACTATTTTATACATTAAACAAATCAAGCATTTCTTTCCAATTTTTAATGCAACAGCAAAACTATTTTTTAGAAAACACTAGAATTTTTGAATTTTTAATTTTATTGCTTTTTAATTATGAGGTATCATGGACACTTAACCTAAGCGTTTATGAGGTATCATGGACACTTAACCTAAGCGTTTATGAGGTATCATGGACACTTAACCTAATCGTTAGAATGTAACACTTCTCAATAATTCATCACATACTTAAACGCTTCACAGTCATTGTTCTTCATTTTAAGCCTGCGATACTGGTGACTTCTAACAAATCAAAGTAGCGTAAATTCTTTTTTTTTTATGCTTTTGCAATTATGTTTCGTTCGAAGTTGGTAATTCTGTACACGTATCTACAAGCAAGCCTCTTTTTTAATTTTGAACTGATTAGCTATATAGTTAAAACGACTGCAGAAAAATAATGGAGCATGAAATTTAGAAATACGATTAAAATTGATTGAAGATGTTTCGGTTGATCTGCCGAAAAAGAGATTAACAGAAAAGTATGATAGATGGTTGACAGTAATATGATTGCTGATTTACTGTTTGAAAGTCCATACTCTAGTTATGAAAAGAAAAAAAAATCAAGGAAGCACACTTCATTAGATAAATATTTTAGTAAGCAGTGAATGTTTTCGAAATGACTGAACACAGTATATATCATAAAATATTTTTCATTTTTATAATTTATGCCTATATAAAAAAATAAGTTTTACGTATCAAGTTTTTTTAGTTTTATAGCCCAAAGGAGCGTTAGCCCGAAAGGGCTATTAGTCTTGAAACGGCATTTTGCGTGGAATCACTATAAATGGCTGTATCACTTTTCGTATTGTTGTTGCCACCAAATATTATTGCCCTGCATTATATTTAAAGAAATTAAATAATGAAGAAACTGCATGAATGCATGTATGTTTCTCGCACTGTGGGGAAAAAATACGATACCTAGAACACCATCAAATTTTGAAAAACGTAGTCCTCCACACGAATATGCGTACCTGGACGCACAAATCGTGAATTTCTAATTAGTTTTATTATGTATTTCATATTTTTTAAACTTTAACGAATTTTGATTAAGAAATTCAACGATTTCAAAGCGAGCAGTGGCAACACACTATACGGAATAAATATTTTTGTCTCCAGCGCGGCAGATTGTCTATCGGAAATTCTAAAGATATGCTGTTTTTAAGTATTTTAAGCCCAAAGAGGCGTTAGTCCAAATGCTCTCGAAACGTGAATGTATGAGTAAGTGAAACAAAAAAACGCCACTTTGGGCGTAAAAATCAAGTTTTCAGTTTTTTTTCAATCATTTTTTTTTTTTTTTTTTTTTTTTTTTTTTTTTTTTTTTTTTTTTTTTTTTTGACTAGCCGTGCCAAACGCCTTAAATAGTTATTACAAAAAAGAACAAACATGTAATGATTTTAATGAGTTCAGTAAGTGTAATTTCATTGATCCTGCTAGTAATTAGGAATAGCATAGATGAAGAGATGCGGTTTTTGCTTCTAAATTGCTTAGCTTGTTAAACAATAATAAACAAATATTTGAAAAGAAAGCCAATAGCAAAGCCACCGATGGCCTGCGTAAGATAAAATTATTTTATTTTGGCAATGCACTTTTTTTTAAAAGCTGAGTTAAATGACTAAATATGAAACACAAATATCTTATGCTCTGCCGAGCGGCAACTTGTTTATTTCTTTTAAATCGTTGTATTTTCTAATTAAATTTTAACCACATTTTTCTGTTTTATTACTTATTTCTTTTCATCAATGCACAAGAACCCAACAACAATAATTCTGACACTACACTTTTAATTGCTGACACACAAAAAATGGTTATATGTATACATTGAAAGAGAAGATGATAGAGTAATGAAAAACGTGTGTAGCAGACAGTATGCGCATGAAATTGATATTAAATTGCCATGAATATTTAATGGTATTGTGAATGAATAAAGCAACTTAATATCATGCATGAAAGCGATATCAAATGGATTCTGTACACTTACAATCATACGTTCAAATTACTGAATTTTTTTAATTAAAATTTTATGAAGTTTATGCAAAATATGAATTAATAAAAAAATTCTGAAAACTTTCAGATTTTACAATCACGCCCAAAGGGGCGTTTTTTAACGTTTTCTGTGTTACCTTTATTTATTAACTATCATATTCTTCGCACTTGAACCATAAAATTCAATTGAACGGCAATATCGCAAAATAATTTTAAAATGAGCATATCTTTAGAATTTCCGATTCACAGTCTCGCTCGCTGGAGATAAAAAAAAAAATGTTTTTTTTTTTACAGTGTTGCCATTGCTCGCTTTGAAATCGTTCAGTTTATTAATCAAAAATTCGTTACAAGATTCGTTACAAGTCGATGTTACAAGATATGAAATCGATAATAAAACAAATTCCAAATTTGGACTTTCATATTCGGAGGAGGATTACGTTACTCAAAATTGGATGGCTCTATGTACCGTTGTTTTATTACAATGCGAGAAACATACATACATTTATGCAGATTTTTCATTATTTAATTTCTTTAAATATAACACAGGGTGATAGTATTTGGTGGCAACACTTTAAAAAGTAATACGAACATTTACACTGAATCGATGTAAAATGGCAAAATGAAATTAATAGCCCTTCTGAGCTAACGCTCCTTCGGGCTAACAAAAATTCAGGCTTCGGAGTGCACATTTTCGAGGAATATGTTTCTTAAAATCTGACGGTGTATTTACAGCCAAATACGCGAAAGCTATCTGTCTGAGGAGAAAGATCCTCCTTAGAGGATTTTCTGAGGAAAAATGGCTCGTATTTAAATTACCTAAAGCATTATACAGCCAGCTCGTCAGCCGGGATTCACACTTGGATTGAACTATTACTGTTGGACAGTCTTATTCATTTGGTCACTGTTTTCAACTAACTGTTATCTATAATATTTCATTCGACTGATTAAAAAAGTCCGCAAATCAAAGATCACGCTTTATTGATCCCAAGAGTTTCAAACAACAACAACAAACACCCAACAATTCAAACATTCATTCCTGCTATTAGAAGTTTTCTAGTAGTAGAAAATTAATTCAATTTTTTTCCCACTTAAACCTTTTTTGCCACTGACAGTATCCTTTGAAAATTATCCATTCAGCTTGTTAAAATAGTATCACGGTTTATTACTATTTATTATTACTTATTTGCCTATAATGAAAAATGAGCTTTTCAAATTGTTGATTCATTCTAGCCGACCTGCAACATACATCCAACAGCATTTTTAATAGCTATATTTAAATGGCCGGTTTCGGTTTGATATACTTTTATAGATATATTGGTGAAATTCAGGTACGCAAATATTCTGCATAATAACTACTAATGTTTACAAAATGTTATGATAGGGTATTTTATTCCATCTAAAATTTATCTCGAATTTTATATTTTTTACATAGATTTCTCAATTTTTGTATTGGTCTTAGGCAAAGAATCAAAGAAGAGGAGCTGAATATTTTTTGACAAGTTTCTGAAACATCAAAAATACTGTATGCGGAGGAGAGTATTTTAATAATAAAACCATAATGGGTATAATCTGTTCAAAGCTGTTAGTAGTAGTTTAATGATGCAAACTACTGTAGCAGAAGTATGGTACATCAGGTAATGAATTCGTTTATATATTTTTCATATTTAAAAATTTCTATCTACATGTTACCCAATACCGAATTTTATTTACCAATATCTTTTCTTCTAAAAAAAGCATGCACCAAACAATTTTCTACAGAAAGATTTATGTGCTGATGTTACCTCTTGATCACCGTTAAATTAAACGCCTTTTGTTCGTCTTTTTTATACCAATGTTTTTATTTTCAAAGTAATTTAAATAATTTATTGCAGAGAGTTCTTAAAAATTGTCCTTCTATTTTAATTTTTTGCGTATTGAAAAAACTAACCTAGGGGGATATATTTTTTGTCTAGCAAAATATTATCATCATGGACCGAAAAATTTACCACAAATGACGAACCCGATTCTAGTTAGCTTCATAATTTTTTTTTTAAACGGTATTACATTTAAAAAAAAAGGTATGAGGATATTACATTCGCATTTCTATATAAGTGCATTTTCCCAATTTAAATTTCAAAATGCGTTGAATACATAAATATCTCTTCACTCGACTGAAACTGGTTTCAACTCACCAAGGGAAGTCCCAATAAGGCTAAAGAGAACACACCGTCAGAAGTTCGTTATCTAGCCAGATCTAGTACGTTCAGGTCAGAAGCTACGTGCCGTACAATATAATTTAAACGCCTGTAAAATTCGACGTGAATTAAATCTATCTGGCGATAATCGCTGTAAATACTGCTTAGCGAAGAACCGGCTTTTGGTTCACTCAACAAGGTTCAAAGTTCACTTCAGTCTTCATTCGTTCAAGTTCTTTCGTTGCCGTTAGCAATATAACGAACTCGTGTAAGAGAGTTACGGTCACGACGCGTCGTGGTGCTCAGTGTATTATAGAGTTGCCTGAGGCTGAGCTAACTCAGGAATAAAATTTATGAAAAGAATATTATGTGGTGATTAAAATAGTTAATTTGCATCCGGATAGCGACATATCGGAACTTTTCCGTTATTTAACAACGCATGCCAATCAATTTTCCCTTAATAGATATCTCCGCTAATTTCATCTGTGATGATCGTTACTTGTATTTTTTTTAGTAATGTGAATTCATCTGGAGATGTCGGTAGAAAAACAATTTCCTTGAATAAGATCTTAGTCAAAAATATTTTTATGTAATTTTCTTACATTTTATAACTTTTTTTTCCGGAAAGAGTGTGATGTAAGTAAAACCCGAAAAAGTTTTTAAAATATGGCATTGAGTTTTAATTCTCTGTTTACTGACTCAAAAGATGATATAGTTCTTATTCTGGAAGAATTTTATCACAGTCGATGGACGAGCTTATGGCGAAAGTATGTTTACTTGTTGGAAATATGAAATTGGCGCAGGTTGTTCAGTAACGTTAAATGGTTCAAAATTTTCCCTGCTACTCTACGATGAGCTTCACATGTATTAGCTTCATTAAAAAATTGAGTGCTAAATCTACTGCTTCTACAATGGATGTTTACACATATTTAAAACAATTTCGATAACGAATTGGTTTGGTTTGATTTATGTGATTACGGTAAGGCCTCCAGGGCTACAAATTGATGAGGCTATCTGCCTAAGATGAGGGATGCCTTCCGTGGAGGCACCTTTCTATGGGAAACTGGATCATATATACGTTACACATGGGGAAATACGCTGAAGCGACCATGCAGCCAGACCATTCGCGAAATTCGAACCTCTGACCGAACTACCAGTGTTCAGCGACTTTACCGCTCGGCCACTGCTGAGGACTCGATAACGAATTAAAAGAAAGTAAATGTTTTGGAATACAAATTTCTGGCATTAAAAATTGTACAAACCTGGTTTCATAAATTAAAGAAAGTTTCGTGAAGGGGTTTACGATCGTCGCAAGATTCTCTTACAATGGAAAATTAAAAATAAGAAGAGTGGAAAAAGATGTTAAAATCAATTCAATACTACCAAGAGAAAGTTGTATCTCCGGTATTTATAGAGGAAATTTCATTTCTTTATCCTCTTGACTTCTATAAAGTGGAACGTCATCAAGATAAGGCAACAAGTCATACTATCAAAAGTACCACTGTAGTCTCTGAAAAAATGACGACTGATATAGGTATTGCATACATAACGTATATTTAACGTATTTCTTCGAAATTTCTTGAAGTCTCATCTAAGAGCTATTTAGCCTTTGTTCTCTCGAAACAAGCTCTTTCTAAGCGCAAATCCACCACGATTTATGGATTCTGAAAAAGCACTGGAAGAGGAATGGAAATTAAAACACTCATGTATATTTTACGAAAATCCTTTATATTGTGGAAATCACTTCGCAGGCCTTTTAGTTCAGAAAAAAGGCTAATAGATCGAATACTTAAAAAAATGTTCTGTTCATTTCAAAGCTTAATTAAACGGCCCCGAAATCGTTCTAAAATTTCGTAAACACCCTTTATAGTTTTTCGAAAGGATAGTCATCAAATCTAAAGCATTCAGCATTCATCTGGTCAGAGCCTACGAAAGGCTGCTTTTAAAAGGAATATTTAAAAGCAGCACATGAATAAAATAAAATTTTAAATTCATGTCAATGAAAGAAAGAGAAAGCTTTACTAAATGTATTCATAATTTTTTATTTCATAGAGTAATAATATATATGCGGAATGCGTATTTGCTGTTAGTGGTAGACGATAGGATAGGTTAGTGATACATTATTTGAATTAAGGCAAAGTACGCGGCCAGATTGTTCACCGGAATTCTAGCGTAGGACAAACTACCAATGTTAGAGTTTTTACCACTCGGCAACTGTGTGGTGCACGATGAGACAGGACATAGGATTTTGTTAACAAGCATACTGCCAATAGACAGCCTTTACAAGGATGTCTTTATAAGTGTCAGTAGAAATTTGAAAATTTGCAGATAAATGTACATCATTCATATTCTGGTGAATAGGTGTATAAACTGTTTGAATAGCTCTTAAATTATGAAATGTTTGTTTTCCAGACTGCTAATTAATTACTTCACGTCCTACAAAACTCAAATATTTGCTTCTGTTTTTCTCCTCCAAAGATAAACTTTTTGCGTCTGAAACTGGCCCTAGAAATGTTTCTTTTTGTCTTTTAGAAATTCGCCTGATGGTCGCCTTCAAAGATGTTGAACATTGTTGCCCTACTAAGAAGAAAATATTCTTTTGTATTCCCTTGTGTCTTACCTGAAAATAACCAAAGACGATCACTTAAAGCCAAATTTTCAAAATCAGCAGTAGTTCCATTGTAATGGTAGCTGAAAAGGTGGTGGAAGTGCACCCCTATTTCCCATCTCTGCAAGTGAACTTCCCTCTGTGCGATCCATATACAACTTTGCTGTGAGAAAGTGTAGTCAATAAACCATCAATCACCTCTTTTCATTTTCGCTACATTCTGGGGGTGGATGGAAAACGAGCAGCGACGAGTGTCTCTCGGGGATAACGATCCAAGCCACATTTAGCACTGGTTAGTGTGTGCCGTTATTGACGTCTGAAGGCACTTGCCAAATCGACGAGTCTGGGTCTGGAAAAACGGTGAAGTGATTAAGCTAGAGCTTTGTCTTTCGCAGATCCTGTAACGTTTTCCCCAGAAATGGGAGACTCGTTATATATTAAAAACTTGATATTTAGATTATGATGAAAAATTGTGTATCTAATAATCTAAGACACGTTCAGATTAGTTCTTAGCACCTTAATTTTTTGGCTTTTGAAGAAGCAGAAACAGCAACCCATGTAAGTGTGGTACACAGTAAATTTTGGTCGAATCATCAGCAATTTTCTTTGTTTCAAAGACTAATGGAATTTTCATCCTGTTTCAGAATATTAAATGCCTTAGGGACCTTATCTCTCGAACAAATAACATGATCCTTGAAAACTAATGTTTCAGAAGGAATAATACGTAGGTATTTTACCTATGAATCTTTTGATATTATCATTCTATTAAAAAAGATAAAAGTAATTCTAGCAAGTAAAATATCTCTTTCTGGGAGGCCGAAAGTGTTTTTTGTTTAAATTTATCTTAATTTTCCACATAGGGGGATGAGATTGAAAGCACCTGGTAATTTCCTGGCAACATGTGCCGGATTCTCGGATTCTACCGGAAGAGTAGTGTGTGACTATGGTAATAGTGATATATGCCTATGCTAAAAGGAAACAGGTATGTAACAGAACGATAAAATTTTGCCTGTAATAAATGCCAAGATTTCCATTTTATTCCTGTTCGACTTACCCAAAAAGAAAATTTCAAAACAAAATTTTTCAAATATCTGCACTGAATCTAGTGAAATTTACATATAATGAAATTTCGGATTGAAGCATGTTTGAAGGATTAAACCTTGATGCCTCTTCGCAAGGTACAGCCATACCCAGAAACCGAAATTCTTTATTCAAATAAATTTAAATTATTTATTTTTCTTTTCCCAAATGAATTCAGTCACATGAAATTTAACCATCAGCATAGATCAAGATTCAAAGAATAAAACAAGATAAAAACGACAAATAAAGGTTTCTGCGCCTTCACGATATTTCATAGCTTTGTCTGATTTGTTAAATTAAAAGCACCCCAGAAAAGATTTATTTAACTGAACAATTGTTAATTTCTCAGCAATATAAAAGAATTACTGAAATCATATACTATGTTAAATAGGATAGATGGCTAACAAGTTATCAGTAAGCATGTGACAACTAGACTTTTGAAAGACGTTTTCGTGGATGTTTTCTAGCAGAACAACGTTACATATGAGAAATAATTATAAACAACCAATCTATAAGACTTAGCCAACTGGACATATTCAACATATAACCTTAGCAACATATTCGATGTTTTTAGCTCAAAGGGGAGTTAGTACAGAAGGCCTATTAGACTCGAAACGGCATTTTGCGTCTAATCACTAAGAAAGGTTTGGTTTATTTAATTATGGCAAAGCACGGTAGGGGCTATCTGCCTGAGGGATGCCTCCATGGAGGACTTTCTAAGGGAAACTGGCTCGTATACACGTTACACATAGGGAAAACCACAAAAACGCCCATGCAGCCAGTTCGCGGAATTCGTACCTCAGACCGAACTACCAGTGTTCAGCGACTTTACCGCTCGGCCGCTGGTGGGCCCACTAAGAAAGGCTGTATCACTTTTAAAACTGTTGCCACCAAATATCACCGCTTTGTATTATATTTAATGAAATTCAAATATGTGTTTCTCTCAAAATGAAAAAACAACGGTGTCAGGAACCATCAAATTTTAAATAGCATAGTCCTCTACAAAAACATGGGAAGCCGGAATTTGTTTCATTGTCTATTACATATTTTGTAAAACTTTAATGAATATTTGATTAAAAAGCTCAACAATTTCAAAGCGAGTAGTGGTAACACTGTAGAGAATAAAACATTTTTATCTCTACGACGCGAGTCTATCGGAAATTCTAAATATATGCCGTTTTAAATATGTTTATTCAAAAGTGGTGTTATCCCAAATGCTCTCGAAATGTATGTGCCTGCAAATGAAGGGGGGAAAAGCGCCCATCTGGGCGTTACATAAAAGCTGAAAGCTTTCAGTTTTTTTTTTTTTTTTTTTTTAATTTTTAAATCTAAAACGGTATAAAAATTACTTTCATATATATAAATTGCAATTTTATTTCGATTTACGGTTTAGGGCAACTTGCGTACTCAAAGCAGTGCATTTAAACGACCCAAGATTAAAAAAATGAGAAAATTTAATGCATTCCAGTTAGTTAAAAGAAAGGTAAAGTAAAGAAATACTTTAGTATGATAAAGTACTTGACAGCTTTTAGACAGACCGTTACGTTGAGCGCACTGTAAGCAGGAACATCATACATTTAGTGTACAAAGAAGGAAAACCGCGAAAATATCCATTCATTCAACTTGTTTAACTGACAGAAGGGGAAATGAATACTTTTTTTAATTTACCTGAACATGACAAAGCACATTACGGCTATTTTGTCTATGCCGTATTATCTGCTTGCTGAGGGATCCTTTCGTTGAGGACTTTCCGAACGAAACTAGCTTGTATTTGAGCTTACTCATAAAAGAATAAATACGAACACGCAAATGCAGTTAATACATTCATCGGGGTTGAAGTCGAATTAAATTAGCAGTGCTCGGAGACTTTATATACATCATGGGGACCTTAAATGCATTAAGAGCGAAAAGCTGCTGATAAGCTAATATAGTTTATAGGATAATCGGAAAATCGTTCTTTGAATAAAAACCCGTGATTTTCTGACGCAATCTCGGCTAAAGAGAAAAAGCCTTTAAATGCGACTTTTGCACCACAATGTACAGTAAGAATATGGAATTGCATTACTACCGTAATATTACTTTACGAAAACGTATTGTTGATTGCGATCTTCCCCTCCTCCATTACAAACACATCTTTCCATAATCTTTACGTGTGCTTGTTTGTTCGCTTAGTGGTCACTGTCAACTTTTATTTTAACTAACTAATGCTTCTTCGCACAGAATGCATTCCACAGTTCCTTTACATAACTGCCCTGACGTGCAAAAGGTGAATTCAAAGGATTCTAATAACTCTGAATCCTCCAGAAAGCATGGATTCCTGCTGAAAGATCTCTCTCTATATATATGTTCCAACCTATTAAGTTCGGATTGAAATTTGCTATATTTCGTATTTATTGTTTTCTCTTACCAAATTTGCTTCTACAAAAAATACCTATATTTCGTCCTCTCACTACAGTTTACATTTTAAGTTCTTTTCTATTAAATGTTCTCAGATTTTGATATATTTATATGCTGCACCTGCTTTTATCCTTCCTTAGCGCCTGCTTTCGTGGTGTAATAGAAGCATGTCTGGCTAGCACGTGGGAGGTTCGGTGCTCGAATCCCGGAGAGGGCATCCCACATTTTTCATGTTTTTTGCATCAACAAATCTAATGACTATAATCCTTCTAAATAAGACAATAACCTGTATACTCAATCTATTTTCTGTGTTAATTATATTGAAAACGTAAAAAAAATATAAAAAACGAACGTAATTTTGTTATATATTGAGATATTTATGTGATATGTTTCAGCAAATGTCCTCACTGGTCGAGTAATTAAGATCAATAAATGGTAATTACTTTGCTCCTACATGAATTTTTTTTCACATGTGGCTGATTACATAAAATAGCTGAACATTAGTGCTTCGATTCATTCGATGGATTCAAATCCTAGAGAACAATTAGCTATTTGGCTCTTTTCGTGGTTTTCCCCGTATGTATCCTAAATACGTGCTAAATTCATCGAAATGTCCTCCATGAAAGCATACATCCTCTTACGCAGATAGACTTTCGATTCTTTTGGTTGGATGGGATGGCTGCATGGTGTTTCTGGAGGAATGCGATCACAAGTTTCCAAATAAGTCCTCCACGAGCGTTTCTCTCTTATATGCCCCTCGAGTGTTTTGTTGTAATAGCTAATTTAACATAACCTAACGAAATGTACAGTCGTCTATAAATATAACTTACAGCCATATGGGATATACAAAGCCCATTACAGTCGAGGAGACAGGACAACTGAACGCAGAAAATGATCTGATCCAGTCAGCTCTAGTGAAAGAAGTATCTGCGTTTGATATATGGGGTTTTCCCCGTATGTAAAGTGATTGCGAGCCTGGTTTCTGTATAATTTTCACTCGATGAAGGTAACCTTCCTAAGGTAAACAGCTTTCGAGTGTTTTGCTATGACCGACCTACAAAACTACGCCTACGAATGCTGATCTTGCGGTTCAGATGGTTACAGCCGAAAACATCGCGGCAAAAACATCGTGGACGAAAACGTCGCGGAGAAAACAACGCAAGGCAAAAACGTCGTGCTACAAAATATCGTGGGAGAAAACATCGCAAAGAGAAAACATCGCAGTTCTAAAACATTGTGGTACTAAATCATCGTCGTCGGAAATAAAGCGGTTCAAAAACTTCGCAGTTCAAAAACATCGTCGTCGAAAATATCGTGGTAAAAATTAAAGTATCTACAAATCATCGCATGACGATAACATCGCAGACATGCTTCTTTCAGGTTTTAATAACTGTAAATGGATATTCCCATATTGATTTGTGATCACAAGATGGAAAGAAGGATAATGTTTACTTTCATACTTTTTATTAACTAATAAATTTTTGCTGAAGAAGTAAGAAGGAAACTTAAGCATAAAAAATTAAATGCAAATTATAGGTTATACTTTTCATGAAAAATTACCAGTAAAAACTTCATAAAAATGATTTATTAATGGCCTTTGTTAGTTAACTATGTCGGTTTAAAATTCTATTGAGTGCTATACGTTGCATTAATTTTCTATGCTGAAGTTTCATTCTTATTTCATTCAATGTTTCTAAACTGCGAAGTTTTTGAACCGCATTATTTTCGGCGACGATGTTTTGTACCACGATATTTTAGAACTGCGATGTTTTCTCTTTGCGATGTTTTCTCCCACGATATTTTGTAGCACGACGTTTTTGCCTTGCGTTGTTTTCTTCGCGACGTTTTCGTGCGCGATGTTTTTGCCGCGATGTTATCGGCGGACACCGGTTCAGATACAACCTTGGCATTTTCTGAATAAAATACTTGATAGTTAAGATACAACAACATGCCGAACAAATATTAATTTAGAAGTCAAACAACAAAAATCAGCGTTATATTTTCAAATTTTCACAGGACTAGTTTCGATGATTTTATCGAACCATCATCCTCAGCTGCGAAAACGCAACAGGCAGCTGCTCATTATGATTCCACCAACGAATGATAGCACAGGTCCATTAAAGATCACAAGCCCACCCGCATTTCAAAGTCCAGCACCCCTCTTCCTGCGTTTTTGCAGCTGATGATGATGGTTTGGTAAAACCATTGAAAGTAGTTCTGTGAAAATTTGAAAATGTAACGCTGATTTTTGTTGTTTGACTTCTAAATTAATACTTGATAGTTACCAACATCTTGGAATCACAATCTCCACTGATTAAACGTCCTGCATGAAGCATCAGCAAAAAAACTTTTCCACTACTTCTTCCCCAGCTAAACAAACCTTCGATCAACCAACAGGCAGCTGCTCATTATGATTCCACCAACGAATGATAACACAGGTCCATTAAGGATTACTCGCCTACACGCATTTCAAAGCTCCAGCACCCCTCTTCCTATATATGCAAC